CAAGCTGGACAGATTAAAAACACATTGTTAAAACTATGACATCAGACTGGACAAATTCTGACGTCCACACACTTAGACCGACTAAAAGCAACTGCCTGACTCAAGCTACAACAGTATTTTTCTTACCTGCTGTCAAATCATGTGGATCCCACTCTCTCGCCAAAACCTGCAGTGTTTGCGGTCACCCATGGATATCAAGAACCTCTGTTTCACCAGCTGCAAGTAGTTCAGATGTTTACACCTACAGCCCATCAGCACAACATGAACTGCCGTGTGAATCCATGTTTCACAAAGCTCTGGTTTAATCAATTCTTTATACACCAGAGTACATTTAGCATACAGCAGTACCCTGTGGGTGATGTTGGTGATGTCCTATGTGGGTGATGTTAGTGATGTTCTATGTGGGTGATGTTAGTCATGTCCTATGTGGGTGATGTTGGTCATGTTCTATTTGGGTGATCTTGATCATGTCCTATGTGGGTGATCTTGATCATGTCCTATGTGGGTGATCTTGATCATGTCCTATGTGGGTGATGTTAGTCATGTTCTGTGTGGGTGATGTTGGTCATGTCCTATGGGGGTGATGTCCTATGTGGGTGATGTTGGTCATGTCCTATGTGGGTGATGTTGGTCATGTCCTATGTGGGTGATGTTGGTCATGTCCTATGTGGGTGATGTTGGTCATGTCCTATGTGGGTGATGTTGGTCATGTCCTATGTGGGTGATGTTGGTCATGTCCTATGTGGGTGATGTTGGTCAAGTCCTATGTGGGTGATTTTAGTCATGTCCTATGTGGGTTATGTTGGTGATGTCCTATGTGGGTGATGTTGGTGATGTCCTATGTGGGTGATGTTAGTCATGTCCTATGTGGGTGATGTTGGTCATGTCCTATGTGGGTGATCTTGATCATGTCCTATGTGGGTTATGTTGGTCATGTCCTATGTGGGTGATGTTGGTCATGTCCTATGTGGGTGATGTTGGTCATGTCCTATGTGGGTGATGTTGGTCATGTCCTATGTGGGTGATGTTGATCATGTCCTATGTGGGTGATCTTGATCATGTCCTATGTGGGTGATGTTGGTGATGTCCTATGTGGGTGATGTTGGTGATGTCCTATGTGGGCGATGTTAGTCATGTCCTATGTGGGTGATGTTAGTCATGTCCTATGGGGGTGATGTTGGTCATGTCCTATGTGGATGATGTTTGTGATGTCCTATGTGGGTGATCTTGATCGTGTCCTATGTGGGTGATGTTGGTCATGTCCTATGTGGGTGATCTTGATAGTGTCCTATGTGGGTGATGTTGATCATGTCCTATGTGGGTGATCTTGATCGTGTCCTATGTGGGTGATGTTGGTCATGTCCTATGTGGGTGATGTTGGTCATTTCTGGGGCAGCAGTCTTTGGCCTACTGTTTAACTGAGGACATGATGGCTGAGTACCAGGTTGACATCACAGCTGGTAGCTAGAACTTTGTGTTAACAATACTGAATATGAATGAAATAACTGTTGTTGCAGACTGTTTGAAATCACCACCTGTCTTTCAGGAGTAGTAGCAAGGCCAGCAGTCGTGGGAGCAGGAGTCCCATAGCCAGTCACAAAAGTGCCAGTCCCAGAAGTAGAAGTGCCAGTCCAGCTGCTAGCCATAGAAGCAAGAGTGGTAGTCCAGCCAGAAGTCACAGGAGTGCCAGTCCAGCCACTAGCCATAGAAGCAAGAGTGGCAGCCCACTTGGAGGTCACAGGAGTGCCAGTCCAGCCGGAAGCCATCGGAGCGTAAGCCCAGCTGGTAGCCATAGAAGTGGTAGTCCAGCTGGAAGCCATCGGAGCGTAAGTCCAGCTGGTAGCCATCGCAGTGGAAGCCCAGCTGGTAGCCACGCCAGTAGAAGCAGACGTAGAAGCCCTGCAGGCAGTCACAAAAGTGGCAGTTCAGGAGCTGGACGCAGAAGTGGGAGTGACAGCGAGTCTGGGAAGAGCAGCCGTGCAGGTAGAGACAGTATTCTAAATATATCTGGTGTCATTTCTCTGGATTAGCAGATGCATATTGTTTGTTATTCTAGGACCTATTGTTCTTCTCTATTGCTCAGCTTGGGATATATGTCTCTAATATAATATTACTTCAGATGTTGATTGAATGATGATATGAGACATGGCTCCTAGTGTGGGGTAGAAAGGGGGGGGGGGTGTTGCACAACCCCTTGGCTGGCATGCTGTAAAGGGCTACTGTTTCAGGCTTTCTGAAATTAGACATGTTATCATTCATCTATGGTAAACCACAGCACAATATGCCAGCCGTCCTTTTAAGACAAACTTAGGACAAGAGCGTTCTCTTTTTCTCTGCTTAGAAGGCTGGTCGGCACATTGAGTTGTGGTTTGCAACTGAGCTGTAATATCTGTACCTTTTCGCCCAACACATTAGATTTCGTACAATTTGTCGCCCCTTGTGACAATGTTGTTAAGAAGTGGGTTTTTCGATACTGTTGATAAGAAGTGGGTTTTTCTGTACTGTTAAGAAGAAGTGGGGTTTTTCAATACTGTTAAGAAGAAGTGGGGTTTTTTAATACTGTTAAGAAGAAGTGGGTTTTTCAATACTGTTAAGAAGAAGTTGGTTTTCAATACTGTTAAGAAAAAGTTGGTTTTCAATACTGTTAAGAAGTCAGTTTTTCAATACTGTTAGAAGAAGTGGGTTTTTCAATACTGTTAAGAAGAAGTGGGTTTTTCAATACTGTTAAGAAGAAGTGGGTTTTTCAATACTGTTAAGAAGAAGTGGGTTTGTTCTTTGTTTCCCCCAAAATGGGGCCCTGGAACCCACACATCCCTGTAGGGATGATATCCCCACAAACATAGGGATGATATCCCCATAAACAGGGATGATATCCCCACAAACATAGGGATGATATCCCCACATACATAGGGATGATATCCCCACAAACATAGGGATGATATCCCCACAAACATAGGGATGATATCCCCACAAACATAGCGATATCCCCACAAACATAGGGATGATATCCCCACAAACATAGCGATGATATCACCACAAACATAGCTATGATATCCCCACAAACTATACAGAATTGTACCTGAGATGAAAAGGAGGACTAAGTCCTGTAACTCTATGCTAGGGTAGTTTGCTCACATGGTAATCATGAGCACAGAGACAGTGGAGCTGCCCAAGAAAGTAGTCCAGATACCTGTCCCAGAACTGCCACACAGTAGGGCAAGAGTTAAACCACTGACGGTCTTCATAGACATTCAGGAAACACTCATTCAGGGACATATACTGTATTGGTCACTCATGGAGGGACATGTACCCTATTGGTCACTCATGGATGTACATGTACCGTATTGGTCACTCATGGATTGACATGTACCGTATTGGTCACTCATGGATTGACATGTACCGTATTGGTCACTCATGGATTGACATGTACCGTATTGGTCACTCATGGAGGGACCTGTACCTTTTTACCGTATTGGTCACTCATGGAGAGAAAGGCAGTCACTTCAATAATAGAATCCTGATGTTGCCAGACTTTACTTGGTGATGTGGGTTGTGTTCTTCAGGTGAAGTGTGTCTCGTAGTGCAGTTCTGACTTTTGTATTCTTCTCTGTCCCCATGAATCTGTTGTGGTTTTGAAGCTTTAGGCTGTTGTAATAATACTAATGCACAATTTCCTCTCCTTCTCACCCTGTAAAACTTGGCTGTTTATTATAGACTGGTACTAACACTGTAACCTACGTAATATTAACACCTGTGAAGTGAGATGCCTGAGAAAAGCCACCAACTTAACCATTCAAGATAAAGTTATAAATGATATTATCATACTCTGGGAACAACACCATTCAGCAAATTCATTGAGAAACAGATCAAATGGTTTGTTCATCTAGTAGGCAGCCAGAACAACTACGATTGCAGATGCTACACATGAAAAGCTCTGAGGTGAAAGCAAGAGGCCACCCTAAGAGTAGTTGAATTGATGACATTAAAGAGCTTCTGCATTGATATGGAATGAAAATAGCCATTGCTGCCCATCAAGCAATGGATCTTCTTCTTCTTCACTTCCTCTTTTACCACTGTGGGTGTCGAGGGAGATATAAGGTTCTGTTTCTAGCTCTTCTGGCTGCCTCGACCATAGGCACATCGTGCTGTTGTAGAGTTTCTCTGATGTTATCCTTCCATCTTGTTCTTGGTCTACCCCGTGCTCTACGTCCTTCTTCTCTTTCCATGTATGCTTTGTATGGTATGGTGTCACAAGGCATTCTCTCTAAGTGGGCAAACCATTTCACTTGCTGTCTTTGTATGTAGTCCAGAATTGGTTCAGTGCCGACTTGTTCTCTTATGATCTCATTCCTGATCTTATCTCTTATGGTCACTCCTGCAGCCCTTCTCAGACATCTCATTTCCGTGGTTACTAATTTTCTTTTATGGTTTGTTGTGATTGACCATGTCTGGCACTGGTAGCACAGAGTTGGAATAAATATGCTTTGAATATGATGTCTCTTTGTGCTGATTGGGATTGTCTTATGCTGTAAGAGGGGGGCTAGCTGTCCCAATACTTGGTTTGCTTTACTGCATCTAATGTCAATTTCTTTATCCAATTTCCCATCTTCGGTAAATGTAGTTCCCAGATATTTAAACTCAGATGCCTGTTTAATGCCTTTGTATTCTATTGCTATGTTTAGATCTGTCTTCTTTTTTTCCTATTGACATTACTTCTGTCTTTTCAGTGTTGATTCTCATATTATTTGTTTTACATTCTTCATTCATGGTACATTCTTCATTCATGGATGTTAGATGTTGTTGCAATTTCATGGCTGTATCTGCTATCTTCCAATACTTAGCAGCAGAAGGGGAAGTTGATGATGATGATGACTAAAACTGTTAAAGAATATGTTTTACCAGGCAATGTTGGGCTGTCTAAAGTACGCCTGTGCATGTTTGATACATGACCAAGTCATGCAAGTGAGATTTGACTCTAGTTTTTGTGTTTGGTATTTTAGGGAGCAGGGCCAGCAGTGTTGCAAGTGGAGCATCCTCACATGGTGAGTGTGTGTGTGTGTGTGTGAGAGTGTGTGTGTAAGAGTGTGTGTGTGAAATGTTGGCTGTAATTTCTGTTAGTTAAATGTCAAACTCATGAAGAAACCTGCAGTTGACATGCGAGTTCATAGAGGCAACCCTCCTGACGGTCTGACCTCCTGACAGTCTGACCTCCTGACAGTCTGACCTCCTGACGGTCTGACCTCCTGACGGTCTGACCTCCTGATGGTCTGACCTGGCGTTTTGGCTTCTTGACGGTCTGACCTCCTGACGGTCTGACCTGAGCATATGACACCCAATGCCAAGCAGAAGAAGAAGAATATGCCAGAGGAGTTAAATGTTCAATTAACAATCAACATCACAGCACTAGGACATTCTCATAAGTGCTCCGTCCCCATATATCTATCTCCTAGCCTAGCTGGTTAAAGGAGAGAATTGGCAGCACTAGGACATTCTCATAAGTGCTCTGTCCCCATATATCTATCTCCTAGTCTAGCTGGTTAAAGGAGAGAATTGGCAGCACTAGGACATTCTCATAAGTGCTCCGTCCCCATATATCTATCTCCTAGCCTAGCTGGTTAAAGGAGAGAATTGGCAGCACTAGGACATTCTCATAAGTGCTCCGTCCCCATATATCTATCTCCTAGCCTAGCTGGTTAAAGGAGAGAATTGGCAGCACTAGGACATTCTCATAAGTGCTCCGTCCCCATATATCTATCTCCTAGCCTAGCTGGTTAAAGGAGAGAATTGGGGGGTGGCCAGTATGTGATTCCCTACTGTGACATATCTGGTATATCTATATGTTTTAAAATATAATGGCTACTGTCCACTGACGTATAGTAATTACTGTTAGAATTACCTTCACAAAACTGAAGAACCATTAAGGAGGCAGTCCTTCCTGAACACGGTTACCATTTTATTTTTAAGGAATGACCAGCTAAATTTCAAATATCTTCTTGACATTTGGTGAGCATGTGCTTGATACATGACAGTTCACAAATGTATTATTTGTTTTGTTTAGTAAACCTGTCCAGACTTGCTAAATTATTATTAAATTGAAAATATTGTAAAAGTAAATAATATAAAAATGGATGTTGGTTTTATAGAGATATTTTCTGAACTAACTTTACATGAGCCCTACATTTTGGAATCGGAGCATTTGACTGTTACAGTTAGATCCCCTACTTCTAGTTCATCTGTACTAGTAATACTTTTGAAGCTATGAAGATTTAAAATTGGGGCTAAAATCACTAGCAAATTATTAAATTAAAATAGTCATAACTAAACTCACATGAGGTATTTCTCAAAGCTGGTGGTAGGGGGTCTAGCTATTGTTGATTTAAAACAGTTTAGAAATAAACATCAAAACATTTGTACTTTTATTGTTTCAGTTGTTTGCAAGCTTACTTCCTAACCCTTGCCTCTTGAGTTTCAACTAAGATGAGGCTATCATAACAACTTGCACACACGAATTGTGATGAAACATTCTGACAAAAAATGTCCATATAAATAATAATTATGTTGCCACTGGGAACAAGTTTAGATGAATCATTCCTCTCACTCTCAATGTCACTACTAAAGTCACCAGAACGCTCTTGTTTATCCTCTAGATCTACATTCATAATGCTGTCCATAAACAGTTCCTCTTCTGGGTTAGTGGGCGTGGCCCTTACATATTCTAAAGTCACCAGAACGATCTTGTTTATCCTCTAGATCCACATTCATAATGCTTTTCCGAATGGAAATCTACATGTCAAAGTTGCTTTGATGCATAAGTAAACTGACTTCCACTTCTTTAGGACTTTACACCTCTGGTTTGGAAATGGTGACATAATTCTAACTAAATACAAATCAAATACCACAAAATATAAAGCTAAGGGTGAAAACACCCTTCATCCGAATGGACGAAAAAGGTGTCCTGCCATCTCGTCTGTTTGCACCATGGGAAAGGCTCAAGCAGACGACAAGTATGCATGCTGGAGAACATTGGGCAAGAGAGGAGTGGGTCAGAGTACCAGAGGAAAAGTCTGACCTGTGTAGGGTTATGATCACATTGGGCCAGGTGTGCAGAGAGTGGCCAGCGTGTGCTACAAAGGTGGAAATCCAACAGTTGATTCATGACGATTCACTCCCAGGTGATCTGATTATCCTTACAGATGGTTCGGTTGTGAGAGGAAAGAGAAGTGCCTGGGGTTCGTAGTGAAAGCCAATGGAAAATCTTTAGTGTAAGACAGCCTAGCATATGACACCACAACATCTAGCATGAGAATGGAGGTGGAGGCAGTAACTGCAGTTCTCCAGTGGCTAGATCACAAGATGCATACGCATGTTGTAATTGTAACTGACTTTGAAAGCTTGCTGAGATTTAAACGAACAAACGAACTTTTAAAGGTTTAAGAATTAGGCACGCAGGCCTGCCTAACATTCTGCCCTTCCAGGTCTCCCTCCATTCTTACATCATTTCATTCACACATCAAGTAATAAACATTATCAATAGCATCAAAATATTCAGTACAAGCACTGGAATGTCTTCATTTCTAACTACAATACACCGTAGTGGTTGTAATAAATCTAAGGAAAATAGGTGCTATTTCAAAAATATTTTTGTTTGGGTCTTCTATGGGGGCATGTAATCTGTGCTCAGATAAGATACATGACAAGGCAGATGTGGTCAAGGTCCTTTGGGAATAAGCAACGAAATTAGTAGAGAAAGAAGATTATTATGGCCTGGAGAGAATGAAGCACCTGGGTGTAACCAGGGGGTTCTGGCCGGTTCACTACACTCAGAGGGAAGACAAGACGGACATAAACCAGATTGTGACCGGTGCCATTAGTATTGGAATTCTGCACTGGCTGCTGAAGATGAGGACGGAGCAAACATGGGAATGCCTCGAGTGCTGTGATGTCAATTTTTGACTTAACTCAACTGTCCTATAATAATTAAATGTTTCTTGAGTAGTAGCAATTAGATACATTTCTGCCGGCTTGCTAGGACAGTCATGTTGCAGGGCAGGAAAAAATCTGCACTGGCTGGTGCGTGTCTCCTTCCAGGCGAGCCATTGGCCTGTTAGCCTGAAACCTTGTGGCTTCAGTTTTCCGGCGCGCACGACGAGAAGGTGGGGGTGACCTGGTGCTCTACGGGTCATTAGCGGGCTACTTAAATTTCACTTTTCACCTCCCCGAAGTGAAGCTAGCCAACCTTAACACTGCTGACTGCAGTGTCAAGCACCTGAGCGCACCCTTACACGCCTGTGAAAGTGTGAATCTAATAAATTTAGACCATCTCCTTCCCTTCTACCGACTGATTATTCATGTGCCATCTCCTAGAGAAATGTTACAGATCTCTCCTTCCCTTCTACTGACTGAGTATACATGAGCCATCTTCTAGAGAAATGTTACAGATCTCTCCTTCCCTTCTACTGACTGAGTATACATGAGCCATCTTCTAGAGAAATGTTACAGATCTCTCCTTCCCTTCTACTGACTGAGTATACATGAGCCATCTCCTAGAGAAATGTTACAGATCTCTCCTTCCCTTCTACCGACTGAGTATACAAGAGCCATCTTCTAGAGAAATGTTACAGATCTCTCCTTCCCTTCTACTGACTGAGTATACATGAGCCATCTCCTAGAGAAATGTTACAGATCTCTCCTTCCCTTCTACTGACTGAGTATACATGAGCCATCTCCTAGAGAAATGTTACAGATCTCTCCTTCCCTTCTACTGACTGAGTATACATGAGCCATCTTCTAGAGAAATGTTACAGATCTCTCCTTCCCTTCTACTGACTGAGTATACATGAGCCATCTCCTAGAGAAATGTTACAGATCTCTCCTTCCCTTCTACTGACTGAGTATACATGAGCCATCTTCTAGAGAAATGTTACAGATCTCTCCTTCCCTTCTACTGACTGAGTATACATGAGCCATCTCCTAGAGAAATGTTACAGATCTCTCCTTCCCTTCTACTGACTGAGTATACATGAGCCATCTCCTAGAGAAATGTTACAGATCTCTCCTTCCCTTCTACTGACTGAGTATACATGAGCCATCTCCTAGAGAAATGTTACAGATCTCTCCTTCCCTTCTACTGACTGAGTATACATGAGCCATCTTCTAGAGAAATGTTACAGATCTCTCCTTCCCTTCTACTGACTGAGTATACATGAGCCATCTCCTAGAGAAATGTTACAGATCTCTCCTTCCCTTCTACTGACTGAGTATACATGAGCCATCTTCTAGAGAAATGTTACAGATTTCTCCTTCCCTTCTACTGACTGAGTATACATGAGCCATCTCCTAGAGAAATGTTACAGATCTCTCCTTCCCTTCTACTGACTGAGTATACATGAGCCATCTTCTAGAGAAATGTTACAGATCTCTCCTTCCCTTCTACTGACTGAGTATACATGAGCCATCTTCTAGAGAAATGTTACAGATCTCTCCTTCCCTTCTACTGACTGAGTATACATGAGCCATCTCCTAGAGAAATGTTACAGATCTCTCCTTCCCTTCTACTGACTGAGTATACATGTGCCATCTCCTAGAGAAATGTTACAGATCTCTCCTTCCCTTCTACTGACTGAGTATACATGAGCCATCTCCTAGAGAAATGTTACAGATCTCTCCTTCCCTTCTACTGACTGAGTATACATGAGCCATCTTCTAGAGAAATGTTACAGATCTCTCCTTCCCTTCTACTGACTGAGTATACATGAGCCATCTTCTAGAGAAATGTTACAGATCTCTCCTTCCCTTCTACTGACTGAGTATACATGAGCCATCTTCTAGAGAAATGTTACAGATCTCTCCTTCCCTTCTACTGACTGAGTATACATGAGCCATCTCCTAGAGAAATGTTACAGATCTCTCCTTCCCTTCTACTGACTGAGTATACATGAGCCATCTCCTAGAGAAATGTTACAGATCTCTCCTTCCCTTCTACTGACTGAGTATACATGAGCCATCTCCTAGAGAAATGTTACAGATCTCTCCTTCCCTTCTACTGACTGAGTATACATGAGCCATCTTCTAGAGAAATGTTACAGATCTCTCCTTCCCTTCTACTGACTGAGTATACATGAGCCATCTTCTAGAGAAATGTTACAGATCTCTCCTTCCCTTCTACTGACTGAGTATACATGTGCCATCTCCTAGAGAAATGTTACAGATCTCTCCTTCCCTTCTACTGACTGAGTATACATGAGCCATCTTGTAGAGAAATGTTACAGATCTCTCCTTCCCTTCTACTGACTGAGTATACATGAGCCATCTTCTAGAGAAATGTTACAGATCTCTCCTTCCCTTCTACTGACTGAGTATACATGAGCCATCTTCTAGAGAAATGTTACAGATCTCTCCTTCCCTTCTACTGACTGAGTATACATGAGCCATCTTCTAGAGAAATGTTACAGATCTCTCCTTCCCTTCTACTGACTGAGTATACATGAGCCATCTTCTAGAGAAATGTTACAGATCTCTCCTTCCCTTCTACTGACTGAGTATACATGAGCCATCTCCTAGAGAAATGTTACAGATCTCTCCTTCCCTTCTACTGACTGAGTATACATGAGCCATCTTCTAGAGAAATGTTACAGATCTCTCCTTCCCTTCTACTGACTGAGTATACATGAGCCATCTTCTAGAGAAATGTTACAGATCTCTCCTTCCCTTCTACTGACTGAGTATTCATGAGCCATCTCCTAGAGAAATGTTACAGATCTCTCCTTCCCTTCTACTGACTGAGTATACATGAGCCATCTCCTAGAGAAATGTTACAGATCTCTCCTTCCCTTCTACTGACTGAGTATTCATGAGCCATCTCCTAGAGAAATGTTACAGATCTCTCCTTCCCTTCTACTGACTGAGTATACATGAGCCATCTCCTAGAGAAATGTTACAGATCTCTCCTTCCCTTCTACTGACTGAGTATACATGAGCCATCTCCTAGAGAAATGTTACAGATCTCTCCTTCCCTTCTACTGACTGAGTATACATGAGCCATCTTCTTGAGAAATGTTAAGATCTCTCCTTCCCTTCTACTGACTGAGTATACATGAGCCATCTCCTAGAGAAATGTTACAGATCTCTCCTTCCTTTCCCTTCTACCCACCCAGTACCAGAATGCTATCTCTTATTTTCGTAGGGGAATCTTGTCTGTGATACCGAAGAATGCTTACTGATATGAACTCTAATGGTACACGCTGCATGTTATTTCACAAAGGTCGTAGAAGATCACACTCTGGCTCTGACTCGGACGTCCCAAGAAAGAAGTCTCGCAGACAGATTGGTAGTGATGAGGAAGAAGACGATGTTGACCATGATGAGCTGGATGAGATTGATCAGGCCGAGAAAGATGCCCTGCTGAAGGAAGGTATGATCTCCCCACATTGTTGTATGATCTCCTCACATTGTTGTATGATCTCCTCACATTGTTGTATGATCTCCTCACATTGTTGTATGATCTCCTCACATTGTTGTATGATCTCCTCACATTGTTGTATGATCTCCTCACATTGTTGTATGATCTCCTCACATTGTTGTATGATCTCCTCACATTGTTGTATGATCTCCTCACATTGTTGTATGATCTCCTCACATTGTTGTATGATCTCCTCACATTGTTGTACGATCTCCTCACATTGTTGTACGATCTTTTCACATTGTTGTATGATCTCCTCACATTGTTGTACGATCTCCTCACATTGTTGTCTTTTTCATGTAACTGCATTACTTGTTATTGTTGTCTCTTCCATGTAACTGCGGAATTGTGCTGGTAGTTAACAAAATAAGCCAAGAGTCCGGACTGTTAACATAACTCTAGATCCAAGATTTGTGCTGGTAGTTAACTTAAAATAAGTCAAGGGTCTGTATTGTTAACATAATTCTAGATCCAGGATTTCTGCTGATAGTTAACTTAAAATAAGTCAAGAGTCTGTATTGTTAACATAATTCTAGATCCAGGATTTCTGCTGGTAGTTAACAACTGTAGCTGCTGGAGGTCACAGGAAGTGGAGAACTGCGATCGACCACAGGGCAGTAAAGCACTTGATTGTGATGATGGCTATCTTATTATCAGTTTGTGAATCAGTCGTCTTTTGTTGATTTCAGCTGAGATGGATCTGACAGATCTCAATGCCATGGAACTCTTCGGTGACGCTGGGGACATAAGCTCAGACGAAGAGGATAAAGCTAAACGACAGCAAGGGGAAGGCGATGAAGACAATGTGATTAGACGGGTACAGAGACACCTTGTGTAGAGAATATGTGTACTGTTTCTCTTGTCTGTATTTCTCATACATATCACACCTTGTGTAGAGAATGTGTACTGTTTCTCTTGTCTGTATTTCTCATACGTATCACACCTTGTGTAGAGAATGTGTACTGTTTCTCTTGTCTGTATTTCTCATACATATCACACCTTGTGTAGAGAATGTGTACTGTTTCTCTTGTCTGTATTTCTCATACATATCACACCTTGTGTAGAGAATGTGTACTGTTTCTCTTGTCTGTATTTCTCATACATATCACACCTTGTGTAGAGAACCTTGTGTGTGTACTGTTTCTCTTGTCTGTATTTCTCATACATATCACACCTAGAGAATGTGTACTGTTTCTCTTGTCTATATTTCTCATACATATCACACCTTGTGTAGAGAATGTGTACTGTTTCTCTTGTCTGTATTTCTCATACATATCACACCTTGTGTAGAGAATGTGTACTGTTTCTCTTGTCTGTATTTCTCATACATATCACACCTTGTGTAGAGAATGTGTGTACTGTTTCTCTTGTCTGTATTTCTCATACAGAGACACCTTGTGTAGAGAATGTGTGTACTGTTTCTCTTGTCTGTATTTCTCATACATATCACACCTTGTGTAGAGAATGTGTGTACTGTTTCTCTTGTCTGTATTTCTCATACATATCACACCTTGTGTAGAGAATGTGTACTGTTTCTCTTGTCTATATTTCTCATACAGAGACACCTTGTATAGAGAATGTGTGTACTGTTTCTCTTGTCTGTATTTCTCATACAGAGACACCTTGTGTAGAGAATGTGTGTACTGTTTCTCTTGTCTGTATTTCTCATACAGAGACACCTTGTATAGAGAATGTGTGTACTGTTTCTCTTGTCTGTATTTCTCATACAGAGACACCTTGTGTAGAGAATGTGTGTACTGTTTCTCTTGTCTGTATTTCTCATACAGAGACACCTTGTGTAGAGAATGTGTACTGTTTCTCTTGTCTGTATTTCTCATACATATCACACCTTGTGTAGAGAATGTGTACTGTTTCTCTTGTCTGTATTTCTCATACAGAGACACCTTGTGTAGAGAATGTGTGTACTGTTTCTCTTGTCTGTATTTCTCATACAGAGACACCTTGTGTAGAGAATGTGTACTGTTTCTCTTGTCTGTATTTCTCATACAGAGACACCTTGTGTAGAGAATGTGTGTACTGTTTCTCTTGTCTGTATTTCTCATACATATCACACCTTGTGTAGAGAATGTGTACTGTTTCTCTTGTCTGTATTTCTCATACAGAGACACCTTGTGTAGAGAATGTGTACTGTTTCTCTTGTCTGTATTTCTCATACATATCACACCTTGTGTAGAGAATGTGTACTGTTTCTCTTGTCTATATTTCTCATACATATCACACCTTGTGTAGAGAATGTGTGTACTGTTTCTCTTGTCTGTATTTCTCATACAGAGACACCTTGTGTAGAGAATGTGTGTACTGTTTCTCTTGTCTGTATTTCTCATACAGAGACACCTTGTGTAGAGAATGTGTACTGTTTCTCTTGTCTGTATTTCTCATACAGAGACACCTTGTGTAGAGAATGTGTGTACTGTTTCTCTTGTCTGTATTTCTCATACAGAGACACCTTGTATAGAGAATGTGTATGTCTGTATTTCTCATACAGAGGACACCTTGTGTAGAGAATGTGTACTGTTTCTCTTGTCTGTATTTCTCATACAGAGACACCTTGTGTACTGTTTCTCTTGTCTGTATTTCTCATACAGAGACACCTTGTGTAGAGAATGTGTACTGTTTCTCTTGTCTGTATTTCTCATACAGAGACACCTTGTGTAGAGAATGTGTGTACTGTTTCTCTTGTCTGTATTTCTCATACAGAGACACCTTGTGTAGAGAATGTGTGTACTGTTTCTCTTGTCTGTATTTCTCATACATATCACACCTTGTGTAGAGAATGTGTGTACTGTTTCTCTTGTCTGTATTTCTCATACATATCACACCTTGTGTAGAGAATGTGTGTACTGTTTCTCTTGTCTGTATTTCTCATACATATCACACCTTGTGTAGAGAATGTGTACTGTTTCTCTTGTCTGTATTTCTCATACATATCACACCTTGTGTAGAGAATGTGTACTGTTTCTCTTGTCTGTATTTCTCATACATATCACACCTTGTGTAGAGAATGTGTGTACTGTTTCTCTTGTCTGTATTTCTCATACATATCACACCTTGTGTAGAGAATGTGTACTGTTTCTCTTGTCTGTATTTCTCATACATATCACACCTTGTGTAGAGAATGTGTGTACTGTTTCTCTTGTCTGTATTTCTCATACATATCACACCTTGTGTAGAGAATGTGTGTACTGTTTCTCTTGTCTATATTTCTCATACATATCACACCTTGTGTAGAGAATGTGTGTACTGTTTCTCTTGTCTGTATTTCTCATACATAGACACCTTGTGTAGAGAATGTGTGTACTGTTTCTCTTGTCTATATTTCTCGTACAGAGACACCTTGTGTAGAGAATGTGTACTGTTTCTCTTGTCTATATTTCTCATACAGAGACACCTTGTATAGAGAATGTGTGTACTGTTTCTCTTGTCTGTATTTCTCATACAGAGACACCTTGTGTAGAGAATGTGTGTACTGTTTCTCTTGTCTGTATTTCTCATACAGAGACACCTTGTGTAGAGAATGTGTGTACTGTTTCTCTTGTCTATATTTCTCGTACAGAGACACCTTGTGTAGAGAATGTGTACTGTTTCTCTTGTCTGTATTTCTCGTACAGACACACCTTGTGTAGAGAATGTGTGTACTGTTTCTCTTGTCTGTATTTCTCGTACAGAGACACCTTGTGTAGAGAATGTGTGTACTGTTTCTCTTGTCTATATTTCTCGTACAGAGACACCTTGTGTAGAGAATATGTACTGTTTCTCTTGTCTGTATTTCTCATACAGAGACACCTTGTATAGAGAATATGTGTACTGTTTCTCTTGTCTGTATTTCTCGTACAGAGACACCTTGTGTAGAGACTGTGTGTACTGTTTCTCTTGTCTGTATTTCTCGTACAGAGACACCTTGTGTAGAGACTGTGTGGTCTGTGGACATAACTTTCTGTGTTTGTATCTGTTCAGAGATTTGCATGTGGTACCTGTGGTCAAACTGTTGAGTCTATAAGTGTTTAAATCTTCTCCTAAGTATACCTGTTGTGAGTAATATATAGATGTATAAAGGTTTATGTCCTTTGTATATACAACTTATATGTTCCTTGGAGTTCAGATTCAAACTAAAGAGGCTAATATGTTAATTGGACCGCAGACCCATTTCTCCCGGGGTCACAGGGTCAAGGACCTGTATAGCCGTGCAATCGGAGGAAACCATGTGGAGTTCATGAATGAATGTAAATCACAGTCTGAATGCGAGGCCTGAGAGAACTCACGTGGAGATGGTCAACTGTGTGTTGACATTAGAGGCAGTTGACTCCACAAAGTCGGAGGAACAGTTGACTGTACCACAGCGGAGATGGTCAACTGTGTATTGATATTAAAGGCAGTTGACTCTACAAAGTCGGAGGAACAGTTGACTGTACCACAGCGGAGATGGTAAACTGTGTATTGATATTAGAGGCAGTTGACTCTACAAAGTCGGAGGAACAGTTGACTGTACCACAGCGGAGATGGTCAACTGTGTATTGATATAAGAGGCAGTTGACTCCACAAAGTCGGAGGAACAGTTGACTGTACCACAGCGAAGATGGTAAACTGTGTATTGATATTAGAGGCAGTTGACTCTACAAAGTCGGAGGAGCAGTTGACTGTACCATGGCGGAGAGGAAGGACACACGGTCAAGATTCCCTGAGAACCGATGCTGTTCTTAAATGCGCCACTGTAGGACGTTATCTGAAAGCTCTGTTAACATGAGTGAGAGGTTCTAGTCTGGGTGTTGCTAGGCTAGACTTGTACATCTATGTGTCATACTGGGTGTTGCTAGGCTAGACTTGTACATCTATGTGTCATACTGGGTGTTGCTAGGCTAGACTTGTACATCTATGTGTCATACTGGGTGTTGCTAGGCTAGACTTGTACATCTATGTGTCATACTGGGTGTTGCTAGGCTAGACTTGTACATCTATGTGTCATACTGGGTGTTGCTAGGCTAGACTTGTACATCTATGTGTCATACTGGGTGTTGCTAGGCTAGACTTGTACATCTATGTGTCATACTGGGTGTTGCTAGGCTAGACTTGTACATCTATGTGTCATACTGGGTGTTGCTAGGCTAGACTTGTACATCTATGTGTCATACTGGGTGAGTGAATCAAGTGTTCATGTTGTCTGTGGGAGTTGTCACAGTAGTAAGGTTCTAGCATGCTGGTTTTCTTGATGTGAGATATTAAGGATTGCTCGAGGTAATGTGGCGGGCCGCAGACAGGAGGTCTGAATGATTCTATATTGCGCATCGGCCTGGATGTTCTATAGCGACAGCATTTGTAAAGTCTAGTGAGTTGTCAGAGTGACAGTCTCATTAATCACAAAGGTGGATCTGCGTGTGTGGATACTGCAAGCCCGTAGCAACCACAGAACGTAGTTGTGATAGGAGGAGTCTTTCAGAGCAGGGCCGTGAATGTGTACATGCAGCAGAAGGAAGAATGACTAGTATTGTGTTAACCATATCTTGTGGTTGACCTGCGTTCACAGTCATGGTTACTGTTGGGGGGGGGGGGGGAGATGTTACTTGTGTGTCTTGACATGACTGAGTTAGCCCTAGACCATTTGGCAGGTGTGCATGTTGGACAGGTCCAGCCAGTACTCCTCAGTGTGCATGTTGGACAGGTCCAGCCAGTACTCCTCAGTGTGCATGTTGGACAGGCCCAGCCAGTACTCCTCAGTGTGCATGTTGGACAGGCCCAGTCAGTACTCCTCAGTGTGTAGTGTGCATGTTGGACAGGTCCAGCCAGTACTCCTCAGTGTGCATG